TTTTTTTTTTTTTTGGACCTGTAGAACTGACTCAATACAGCTGAGCTAAAATTTGATTTCATCTCAGGTTTTGAGTGAAGACTATAACAGCTCTATTACACTAAAATAAATTAGCTAAAGTCTACCTTACATTTGTCAATACATTACAAAAATAATTACTTACAGAGAATGAGTAATACAAACTCTTGATTGCTATTGTGCACCTAAAATAGCTTCTGTAGCTAGCATAGCAAACTGTTTCATTGATCAGTTCAGAAGTTACTCAAAAGCTTCAACATAACAAACATACTATCAGACATACCTGAGAATTAAACACAAGCAGATATTTCTCTATACCCAAAAACACATAAAATAACCTCCAGCCTCATGCAAAGAATGCTGGAACTAAAAATCAACTGCAGTTTCAGTTAATGAAATTGTAAAAAAAAATAAAAATAAAAAATAAAATAAAAATGGTAGACCCACCTTGTCACAAAGCAAGGCCAGACACAACAGATAAGTGCAAAACAGGATGGTTTATTGACTTGGTAAGTGGATGACTGGAATAGGTGAGTTAAAGGCAGGTGAATGTCAACACAGTGAATGGTTCCAGGGTGCTTATCTGAGTTCTGATGGAGAGGATCGTATGCCAGTTACGTTGGAGATCGTGGAGCCGTTTCCACGGAGTCGTTGGAGGATCGTGGGAGGAACAGCAGGTAATTCGTTCTAGGAGATTTTGGCAGAGAGAGTCCAGAGTAGTTCGTAGGAGTGAACGGTAGACCGGAAAGTGAGTGGCTGTGCTGTGTGTGTATTTGTAGTGTGGCTTGATTGGTGACAGCAGGTGCGGGTAATCAGAACTCAGGTGACTGTGATCGGGTAATTATCCTGGATGGTGACTGAAGTGACTGTGATGACTCCCTGACACACCTTAAGTAAAGTCAGTTTTACATGTTTAAGTAGATTGGACACAGTTAAATTAAGTAGAAACAAAGAGTTAATTGTTTTGTTTTAAATCGTTTTAAAGGTAAATTCAATGAGCAGCAAAGATATTTAAGATATTTTTTTAATTGAATATAGACATTGACAATGTCTAAAACTTTAGTGATTCTTTTTATTGATTTAGTGAATCTTTAAATCATTTGCATTGTATTTATATTTGAAATATTTTGGTATAGTTACATTTCACTGTTACGTAGATTTATTTTAACTTCTGTCAAGATCTCAAAGTCTCAAGTCATATCTCAGTGCTTGCTAAAAGCATAAATGTAGATGAAATGGTGATGAAATACATCGTATTTTTTGTCATCTGAGATTTCTTCCAGCTTCACGTTCCTCGCTGTTCTTTTGCTGCTGTTGACTGCAGTTTTGTCTCTTGATAATTATTTTGCTTTTGGTGACTTACTTTCCCCGAAGGTTTAGGCTAGAGGTGACACCATGTCACTTGTTGTTAAACCTGTTATGTTTCTCAGGTTGGGTGAGAGGGCACAGTGGCAAACCTGTAAAGTCACAGGCTGATGTAATTAAAAGCATCGCTTCATAGATGCGCACTGCTGAGAACAGAACAAGGTTTAAAATGGAATTAAACACTGGATATATCAAAGGCAATTTAAGTTACAAAAATTGAAAGTAAACAGCGCAAAGTGTTTTAGTTGTGTATAGTAGTGTTTTAGTACTTAACCCTTGAATGCATAAAATGAATCAAATTGATAATAATAATAATAATAATAATAACATAATATTTAAACCATCCTACTATAAAATATCATTAAATATTAATAGTATTATTAATATTAACAGTACAAAATAACAAATATCTCTGTTTGAGAATCACTGGTGTCTAGTATGATGCTTCAAGTAATTTTTTTTTCAATAAATATAAAATTTATGAATGAGTTTGTAAAGGGGATGATATTACCTATGGAAATGTACCCATTACCTGGACTGTCCATTATTAACAATTATAATATTTAATTTCTTGATTCATTTATTTATTCATATGATTTTTTTACTATATATAGTTTCTGTTTTAAAAATCTAAAAGTTTTATACTTGTAAAAGGGTTCATTTATTTGCTATAGGATTTTTTTTCAAAATTATTATTATTATTTTTTTAATCCTTATAATAAAAGTTATTTAGGCCAGTTTCATACACTACCAGTCCGAAGTTTGAACAAACCTGAAAGGATGTTTCAGCTAGTATCAAAGCTAAATATTCTGCAATTAAAAAGTTCTCACATTAGTTAATTATAATTAGTTTTTAGATTTAGGATTGAATTTATTATTATTATTATTATTTTATATGTAATGAACCAAAATTACTTTTTGAAATGACTTTGTTAAACTGGAAATAGAGGTAAAAACGCAATGCAATTTCTTTGTAGAAAACTATTAAATCCAATACAATTTTGTCTCCATTTAGGCATTCATGTATTTTGGAGGCTCAAGCATTCTAAGATAAAATGCTTTGTTTAAATCATTTTTCTTCCCTTACAGTATTTTTATTGCATAACAACACACCAGTAACTGTTCTGATACAAATTACAAGTTACCAAATAATCACTGCGTATGTATGTGTGTAAAACGCAGTGTGTCCTGCTGCTGATTGAGATACAGTTAGCTTCCTACATAGTGTGGGTGGTTAAATCCAGCAACAGCACCCCCTCCGTCTGTATCACTCTGATTTTGTGAGTGCTCAGCTTTATTGCGTGAGTACTATTTCCTCGGCCTATCAGCTTGAGCCATATGGGCTTTGTCTTTGTAGCTCTCTCGCCGTCATTTTTACTGTAGGTGTTTTTAGACAGCTAAGTGGGTCTGTAGAGAAAACAATTATATGGAGATGCTCTCTCGGTCTTCCTCTCTCGCTCAGCGAGCTGTTTTTGGTTCTCTTCCAATAGTCGGCTGAGATATTTGGCTCTCTACCCTTCAGACTAGTTGCCCTCAGAATTCCACTCTCTGTGTCTGTGTAAGGTTGTTTTGACTGTCTCGCTTTCTCTGTTGTGTCATTACAGTGAGTTATAGTTCCTTTTGGAGCCCAACCGGATGCATTGTCTGGCCGATATTTACTCCAATGTGCAGCCACAATCATCATAACTTTTTCCATGTCAACTGGCTGCACCAAACAGCAGGTTTATGAAGTCTGAATAGTACACCATAGTGTAATAGTTGGGGCGACTGAAGCTTTTGTGGCAATATTTGTGTCTAATAGCACTACAGAGATAGTATAGCAATTTAGAAAAAGAGAAGATTGCCAGCATTGTTGTGCTTAAATGCAAATTATATATCTTAAACTCTTGTTTTGTTTTGAAAATCCTTTCCCTAATTGGGTGTTCCCAGGTCAAAAATGACCAGCTTTTAAAAATTGCTTGTAAATACCTCTTTATGCTATATTATCACAAAATCCTGGATTCACCTTTTTGTTTTCTTTCAATTAGCACAGGTTTAGTAGTTATTTTTGGCACTGATTGATTGTAGGCCTTGTTGATCTGAGCTTATGCACTTCAGTTCTTGAGTGATAAACGCATTTGTATAGATAATTTTGGCAATATTCACATAAAAACTGAGGTGCACCCAATATTTGGTAATAATATAGCATAATAAGAGATTTACAAGTAATTTTTGGTAGGCCAGTCAACCCAATGTTTACTTCACCCAATATGCTCAGTGAAATAAAATGTTTCTTAAGTGACAGAATTTTTTGTCATTTTCGCTTGACAAAGCCCCTCTGAGCCACATAATGTTTGGCACCATGTTGAACTGACGAGTGTGGAAATCAGAGAGATACTTGGGACTGATATGAGGGTCCCAGCGCAGATGTGAAGATGTGCCTCCAGAACATGGGCGGAATCCTGATTGAAAAAGGCGCTATAAATTGGTCGATCTTAATCCTGGTCCTGAAGCTGCTCTAACGCTGATTTCATTTAAAATTGTATTTTAAAAAATAATAATAACAATTAATTAATTTTAAAAATAAATAAATAGAAATAAAAAATAGCTTTAGGCAACCCCTTAAAACCCCTTTACAAAGGAAGTTTATATTTAACAAGACTTTTTTTTTTACTTTATTGTTAAAATTGTGTTTTTAGGATAAATCGCCTCAGAAGTATGTTTCTAGAATTCTCTGTGCAAAACATCACATCACACAGGTACGTACATTTGACTATTTTTGTTGCATTTTATGTTATTTAGTTTTTTTATTGCAATTCTTTCAAGTCTTTGGAATTCTCTTCCTCCACACATTCGTCAATTGGACTCTTTGTGTCAATTCAAATCACAATTAAAAACATTCCTATTTAGATCATTTTGTAATACACATTAGCATACTCTGTATAATTTTCTTTATTTTATTTTATTTAGTTTATTGTTTCTATTAGTTTAACCCCTTGTTATTAGTTGATTGTATTATTGATACAATAGATATTGAACTTTTTTGGACTTGTTTTAATCTGTTTTGTAAGGTATCCTGGGGTGTTTTGAAAGGCGCCGTCAAATAAAATTTATTATTATTATTATTATTTTAGTGTCATGTATGTTGCTTCTTCATTGTACCATCTGCTGTCACTGCATTTTACAGTATTAAACCAATTTTTACAGCTTAAATAGATTGGTATATCAACACTATATGGATTAATGACACATGTATGCCATTAGGAACTGTAAAATATGCATGCCCAAAATGCCATACCATAATGCCACGTTTTTCTAACCATAAATCTACCTTTGGGCACAAATCAATGCTGGACATGGATCATACATGTAATGATTTCCATTTTCAGACCACAATATAAATAAATCGAATGAAACACGCGAACACACACAGCACCGTGTGGAAAAGAGAGGACAGGACGGTCTGCACACAAACTCCGTTCATCTTTGTCAAGGACAATTCATTTAAACGGATGAGCTCAGACAAGTCGGCTGGCTGTTTCCACTCGTCGGGGTTTGCGGCGGAGCTTTTGATTGGCTGATTGTATTATTGTATGCAAATCCGGTCGGGGTTGCAGCCAGTAGGTGAAAGGCTCGCGCTGGTGTGGCTCTCCAGACCCGAAGCGCGAGGTGAAGCCGCTTTCCGCGGAGCTGTCCACTCTAGGAGGTGCTGAAACGAGGATTTCACGTCAGCCGACAGTTGGAAGGAATGCACAAACTCCGAGGACGTTGTACAGCTTAACCAAAACGGGATTGGATTTACTTCGCACCAGTTAACATTGTTGTTCCAAAAGTAATTATCTTATTTTAAAAACCTCACTCGGAAATACCTTTCTGGATGAGTTGTAGTTGGATAAACAGGTATGGTTTTTTTTTTATGATGTGCTACATAGCCTGATGTGATTTAAGATCAATCTTCAGGTCCGTGGAATCAGCACGGATGAATTTCAGTGTGATTTAAACGTGTTCACTATATTATCTGTGCTGACTTCTGTACCGATGGGCAGTTATTCAAATGGATTAAATGGAGAGGCAAGGTGGGAAGCACTTTCGCTGTAGAGTGTGAATAACTTAGCATTTTGTGCAGTGACATTCAGCGTAGCGGGCACAACTGACTGAAGACCAGTAGCTGTGCTTGATGGAGGGTGATGAAGTTAGACGAGCTTTTTCTATCCGCCGTATCGGGGACAAGTTCACTCGTCGGTCGACCCGATGTAATGTTGCCTCAAACAGTGCTGCGATATTCCTCGAATGAAAAACGTAGACGTTAAGCACACGTACGGGACCCTGGGCAAAGCTCGTGGCCGTTTAATTTAGCCGCAGGGTACTTAGCAAGTTGTTCGTTCACATAGGACGTGTTCTTGCGTTCAAAACAGATCGAAGAAGCGCAACGCAATGGAATAGACGCGTTTTAAGTAGTTTAACTGATTGTTGAATCGCACCCCGCTGTCAGGTTACAACAAAGACGTCTTTTAATGTTTGTGTGCATTAATTGACTATTAGAAAATAGTGAATACCGAATAGACGAACGCCTCCAATGTGAACAGCTCCTACGATTTAACCCGTTCACACTGTTCCATATACGACCATGCTACTCTAAACGTATGCATAAATGATAATAAATCAGTATATGATCATTTTTAGTTGTTTCTAATGTCCGTTAACAATCCGCAACATCCAGATCATTGTATTACAATACACTTTTTATTAATTAGTTCATTCAAAATCATTGAAGATACAGATGTTGTTCATATTGACGTTGCACTCAGATTGAATTAGAAGCATGATCATTTGTGATTTAAGTGGCACCAAATAAAAAAACACCTGAATGTGATGTCCATAGGTCTGAATAGATTATAGAAGACGAGTGCATCACTAAGATTTTTTTTCCCACCATGTTCACAAGGGCTGCCATTTTACTGATTTATTCTCAAGAATGCCAATTTCCTAATCTAAACTTAATTTTGTGTGTGTCTGTGGCCATCGATCAATAGAACTTGTCTTCTTCACATTTTCTGTATGATAGGTTGTAGGCGTTATTTCCAGCTTTTTTATTGTATTAGGTTTATTACAGCAAGATTGGACAACAAGAACTCAAGAGACAGCATTGTAGTTGGTGCTTTGTTATTTTTATGAGATTTGAAGCCAAGTTTTCACAGTTTAGTCTGTGCCACATTGTCAAGCTCTCCTGTTTTGTTGTTGCCTGTTGGTTTAGCTTTACAAGGAATGGTTTTTCCTTGAATTTGCAGCCAAGCATTGACATAGAATCTGCTTTTGTAAGCTGTGTTTGGAGCCAGTACTTTGACTCAGTAGAGAAAGGTACATGGGACTCGAAGTGAACAAAAGTGAAAGTTCAGATTAAAAAACAAAACAAAACAAAAAAACAGAAAGGAGTAAAAGCCCAGAAAGGTGGGTGGAAATGCATCGTACCACCTGCTGTGCATGACTGATGAGGCTCATAGTTAATGTTTGAGAACTCAGTGAGGGTCAGCTACTGTATGAGCTTCCATGCTTTTCTGCTCAAGTGAATCTGATGCACATTGAATTATACATCAAATGAGTATAGGTGCAATCCTGGAACTTTTTCCATAGTGCTCAGTAGCAAATGATTTATTGCAGACAAAGACTCTACAGGAAACTCACACAGTGCAGAAAGTGAGAGGAACAACAAACAATTGCTTCTCCCACACACAGAGACAGGCAAACATGCATTCTCACACATATAGACACAAAAGTAAAGCCTCAGATCTGACAAACACATATTAAAAAGCACTGAATAGGCCATTAAATATGCCTCCAGAGCAGATGGCACTTTAAAAAATTCTGTAGGAAACCTAGCTGGAAAGACTGGGAAAAGAACACTCAATGGAAATATATCAATTTACACAGAAAGAAGGGAAAATGTACTGTAAGCACATTTTCAGCACTGGATCTTCCTATAATGCTCTAAAGGAGACCGGATTTTCCTTTCCCTCTCAGTAGCAAGACCTCATCCTGTCATATTTCTTCAACTCTCCAATTTTAGAATTTCACCCAATCGTAAATATTTCAGCAGCAGGTGGAAGAGCTGGTTTAATGCTGTGGTGTGCACTGATGTGAGAAACACTGTTCACAGTGGAAATAAATGCAGGCACCATTACCCAAAAGAGTGGTTTAGCATGTAAGTTGGGAAACTACTTAAAGTTTTCTTAGAATTTAAAGGAATAGTTCACACAAAAATTGAAAATTTGCTGCAAATGTTCTCTCCCCCAGGCCATCCAAGATGTAGATGAGTGTGTTTCTTCATCGGAACATTTGGAGAAATTTAGCATTATATAATTTGCTCACCAATGGATCCTCTGTAGTGAATGGGTGCCGGCAGAATGAGAATTCAAACAGTTGATAAAAACATCGCAATAATCCACGAGTATTCATATTTTGGCCAGAAGTGACAGAATGATGGATTTATTTCTTACAAACACTCATCTTTTCACTTCACAAGGCTTTAATTGATGGACTGGAGTTGTGTGGATTACTTGTAGATTTTTGTGATGTTTTTATCAGAACAAATTTGCTAAACATTACCAAATCTGTTGTGATGAAGAAACAAACTCATCTACATCTTGAATGGCCTGATGGTGAGATTGGCCATTTTCAGCAAATTTTCATTTTTGGGTGAAATTTTACTTTAAAACTTGTTTATTCACCCTCATGCCAGTCCAAACCCATATAACTTTCTTTCTTCTGTGTAACACAAGATTTTAAAAACTGTCCATACAATGAAAGTCAAACGTGTTATCTTTAAAATATTTTCTTTTATGTTTCACAATGAGGGTGAATGAATGATGACAGAAATTGTATTTTTGGGTGAATCTCTTTAAAGGAATAGTTCACCCAAAAATTTACATTTTGTCATAATTCTCTCACCCTCATGTCAATCCAAACCTGTATAAGTTAATTTCTTATGTTGAACACAAAAGAAGATATTTTAAAGAATTTTGAAGAAGCAAACAGTTGTTGGTCAACTTGGTCCCCATTGACTTCCATATTAGAGAAAGAAATACTATGGATGTCAATGGGGACCATCAACTGTGTGATTATCAGCAGTCTTCAAAATATCTTCTTTTATGTTCACCATAATAAAGAAACTCATACAAGTTTGAAACGACATGTGGGTGATTAAACGATGACAAAATTTTTGGGTGAACTGTTTCTTTAACAGCCTTGCTAGTAATTGATAATTATATGAAGCATTAATAATTTATTTTTCTTTGACTCATTTGTAAGTCGCTTTGGATAAAAGCATCTGCTAAATGACTAAACGTAAATGTAATGTAAATGTAAATAACAGCCACATTTTTCATTTTGATCAGCACTATCCTCTTCATCATCAGCCACATTGTCAGCCACAGCTCTTCATCATCATCATCATTATTGTCTTCATGCTTTTCTCATTTTCCGCCTTCATCACAAATCGTGGAATCGTTATTGTGCGCGTATAATAGCAGTCTGAGATTTGCAGTTGTTTACTGCGCTGAAAGGCACTGCACTCACACGATACAACAAAAAGAAGAGGGGCAATACAAACACACTAATTGCTTTCAATAATTAATCTCCTCAAACAACTGCCTCGCCTTTGCAGCCTCGATGTGAATAGCATCACCCCGAGATACAGGTTCAAATAAGAACCCAGCATTATTTTCACACAATGCCGCTGAGATGGATGTGCGAGCAAACTTTATTCATGGTGTCTGTGGATTCCCCTGTCCATAGATATGTTCATCACAGACCTGAGTGAGTCCTACTGTTGCACTAATGAATCCTGACACTGCTCACGGATTGGACAGGTCAGTGCAATCCTCCGTGACCAGCGAATAACACAGTTCACTGATCAGCGGACATAGAGCTATCTCATAGACCTGGATCACAAAATGCCTTTCTGACTTGCTTTCTGTATCCATCAACCAGCATGAACTTTTGGGTTTAGGGCAACTTAATGGCATTTCTGGTAAGTTTGGATGGGAGTTATGGAACCTAGTTTAATAGCTCATCTCCGTTAGTTCACCTTTAAAGTTGGGTAGCCTTAAACCCTAAAAGGAATTAAGGGTGTCAAATTATGTAGTTTATGTATTTACTAAAATAATTTAAGTCCTTGATTATTCCATGATAAATCTCACAAATCTTTTTTAAAAAGTCTGTTTATGTCTGTTATTTTTTATTTTATTTTTTTGGTTTATTTTTTTTTTTCTGAGGTTAAAAATCAGCCTTAAATCTGTTGTCCTTTTCCATCGTCAGATCTATTATTGCGTTTGTGCACATTCTATGTAAACTTACTCAGGGCAACAACCCATATCTAATCAACTCGTATCTGTTGAATATGGCAAATATGCATGGGTGACTTGATTTGTGCTTGATAGGGCAGATATGTGTTTGACAGGGCATATTCACTACATACTGGATCTGGCTTTGGGCTTGGGAGAAATTAATTAGATTGTACAACCAACGTTTTGAAGTTGAATAGATTAAAGAACAAAGCCAAGCTTGGAAAAGTGGTTTGAACTCACATAGGGAAATTGTCAGGATATTTTCAGCTTGTTCTCAGGTTTGTTCCCAGATTGGTGGGCTGGCTGTCTGATCCTGCTGATGGTGTGTGTGTGTGTGTGTGTGTGTGTGTGTGTGTGTCCACATTGCTCT